AGGCGCCGCGGGCCAGACACGAGACGAGAGAGAAAGAGAGAGGGGGAGGGAGAGAGAGACGGAGGGAGGGAGGAAGAAAGGAGAAACTTCTCCTTAGGCAGGATGCCATCTGAGTTGCCTTGGGCCAGCCACTAGACGAGAGAGAAAGAGAGAGGGGGAGGGAGAGAGAGACGGAGGGAGGGAGGAAGAAAGGAGAAACTTCGCCTTAGGCAGGATGCCATCTGAGTTGCCTTGGGCCAGCCACTAGACGAGAGAGAAAGAGAGAGGGGGAGGGAGAGAGAGACGGAGGGAGGGAGGAAGAAAGGAGAAACTTCTCCTTAGGCAGGATGCCATCTGAGTTGCCTTGGGCCAGCCACTAGACGAGAGAGAAAGAGAGAGGGGGAGGGAGAGAGAGACGGAGGGAGGGAGGAAGAAAGGAGAAACTTCTCCTTAGGCAGGATGCCATCTGAGTTGCCTTGGGCCAGCCACTAGACGAGAGAGAAAGAGAGAGGGAGAGGGAGAGAGACGGAGGGAGGGAGGAAGAAAGGAAGGCACGGAGGGAGGGATAGAGAAGAAGAAAGGGAAGGAGGAAGAAAGGAAGCAAGCAAGCGTAGATCAACACTTACTTGAAGGAAAAACAAACAAAGAAAGGAAGGAAGAGGAAAGGAAGAATTAACACTGATTCGAAGAGCCTTTCTTCTTTCCTTCCTCCTTTTCTCCTTCCCTCCCTTCCTTCCTTCCTTTCTTCCTTCCTTCGTATCCTGGGAGCCTCCCCCTGCTAATAGATGCCCTCCTGTGAAGAAAGTGTCATCTCAGCAAGGCGGCGAAGCGCTTTACCCAAAGGGAAACCCTAAGCTCGGCCTTCCGTTTAACCTTTGGGAGCCTCCCAGCATCCCCTTCAACATGGGGGGTATGGAAGCCCCAATCTCTAAAGGCTGACTAGATGGTCCCGCTTTGCTTTCGATCTTCCTGGTCCTTCCCGGCTTGACAAAATAATGACGGCCAGATTGGATAAGGCTGTTTTGGGGAGGGGGACGCTTAGCTTGCACCGTTGTGGTAATGGAGCACCCGTTTTTCCCCGAAATGAAACGAACCCCATGGAAAGCCTTGAGAGAAAAGGCCGAGGTGGGGTCAAGCGTGCCAGAGTTCCGTTCTTGCTGGCATGCAAAGATTGAAAGACTTCGGTGACAGTGACGAGTGCCACCGCCCCTAAATAAGCGAATTGCTCCACTTGGCTCGTCCCTCTCTCCGACCTTCTTAGCTAGGACGAGTTCCGAGGACATTAGATAAGGGGGGGGGGGGATCCTTCCTCACTGTAAGATCTGTCCAGCAGGACAAAAGGTTCTAGATATGGAGATTGTGGGACCTCCTTCTATTGGGGTTTTTTAAAAGAGGCTGGGCAATTAATTCTGGTGTCTGGTTTCATTGGTTCTCCTGCACATCGCCGTGGGGGTTGGACTAGAAGACCTCCAAGGTCCCTTCCAACCCTGTTATTGGAAAGACGCTCTCGGGTATAGGTGCATCTAGCTTTGAACTGTTTGCCTCCCTCCCCCTCTTTCTCCGGGGGCTTCGTCGCGGTCTGGTGGATGATCAGATATAGAACACAAATATGCAAAGATCTTTCGATTTTAATTAGATCAACCTTTTTTGTGGGGGGGGGGGAGTATTTGCCTTACTTAGAAAGTTGGCATATCTTTTCGGCATGCTTCTCTGTGTTCAGCCTGGGGCACTGGATTCCGTTCGGTTGAACGTGTCTGTGATTGTGATGAATCATTCTTATAGGACGGGATTATAAATAGCAGCAGTCTCGTGTATTTGGGGACCGAGAGGCTGCAGGCTGAGGTTTGGGATTACGTCACTCAAAACACAGAACGGTTGGCATCCGTACGACGCCAGGTGTACAGAGGGCCATTCTGAGCTTCCCTTGAAAGAGGGATGAGCCACCGGTGGCTTTCCGACGTGACCCAACTACAAACCTAATGCCCTTCGCTTTTTGATAGGCTGGGTGGACTTCTGGAATTGTAGTTCAACCACATCTGGAGGAAACCCCCTCCCCCCTCATCCTGCTTATATTTTTTTTATTTTTTTTTATTTTTCCATCACCACTCACTCTTACATCCTTAATCTTACAGTGGGTCATCTGGGTGCAGTCTTTGTGTCATCATATTTAACAGTTACATCATTTTAAATCTATTTTTATCCTGCCTTTACATTTACTCCTCCCTTATTAACTCCTCCCTTATAATTCTACGTCCCCCTCCAATTAATCAATTTTCTGTTTCTTTTTGTCTATGTTCATTTTCTATCCAGTGATACAAACATCCCCATTATCTTATAATACTCCGATTCTTCCTTCTCTTTAATTACAAACGTTCAACTGCTCATCTGTCCATCTTGCGTATATTTATTGGGTTTTGCGCCCTCCAGAATCTCCCGGGTGGTCGGGGAGGAGGGTCTCTTCCTTGTTTTCCCAAATCGTTTGCTCTGATGACCGCCTTCCTCGAAAACTGCCCGGAAACCCCCCCCCGCCCCATTTCAGTCTCCCACCTCGTCCCGAATGCGCCCTTTTCTGACCAACGATGACCCCAAGCCAGTGATGTACTAACCATTAAGCCAGACTAAGCACGTGGTTAGAGCACCAGGCCCAGGAGGCATCAGAAAGTTGAGAAAGAAAAAGAAAACCAATGGAGATTTGTACAGTATGTCCAAAGGAGGGAGGCACCCAGATTTGTCAGTGCTTAGGGCACCAGTGAGCCTTAATCCACCATTGCCCCAAGCCAAAGGCGAAAAGGCAGCGGGGGGGGGGGTTCCTCTGCTCTTTCCTCCCCCCTTCCCGCCCTTGCCTTTCTCCTGCCAGGAGGATGTCCGAGTTCTCCTCCCTGCGGGCGCCTTCCCTCCCCCTATAAATCCATCTCCCGGACAGCTGTGGGGGGGGGTGGAGAGAGAGAGAGAGGCGTCCAAGCCGGTGGGAACGGCTGGGGGACTCCTTTCCAGGGGTGCAGCCGCTGTGGCTCGGGTCGACCATGGGAAGCGCCCTCGAGGCACCTCTGCTGACCTCTCCCCCTTGTCCTAACCCCGCAGGCTTCCTGCAGAGGAACAACAGCTTGGAAGACAAGAGCCGGCTGGTGAGCGCGCTCAAGGAAAGGCAGAGCACCCGCAACCTGCTGGCTTGCGAGAACAGCGAGAAGGAAGGCCGCTTCCAGAAGACGGAGACCGACTTCTCCAACCTCTACGCCCGGGGTAAAGTCCTGATCCTCTCGCGCTGTCCCTCGCCCTCGCCTGATGCCCCATCCCGAGCTTCCCTTGCTTTGCTCTCCAAAGCCCCAACCTGCCAAGGCTTCCCCGCCTAGGGAAGGGGCGGGAGGGGAGGGGTGATAATGGTTTGCCCAGGGTCAAGCCGCTGGACGTGCCTTTCCTGTCCTGGGACGTCCCTGTCCGGCTGCTGGCATCTGGGGTCATCTCAGGGTTGTCCCCAGGCATGCCGCCTACACGCTAGCCAGCCAAATGCTTATCCTGTTATGCAAACCTCAAACGTCGGGTGCAATTTGGGTCATCTAAGGTGGGATAGCCCGGTGAGGGTGCCCCCTGCAGCTCAGAAGCACCAAAGGAAAGTTATTTGGGACAAGCAAAGGAGAACTGATTGCCTTATGCCCGTGATGGCGAATCTATGACATATGTGCCACAGGTGGCAAACGGAGCCCTCTCTACGGGCACGCGAGCCGTTGCCCAGCTCAGATCTACCGGACATGCGCCTGCGCCTCCCGCTGGCCTGCTGATTTTCGAATGTCTGCCATGCATGCGGGAGATGTGTGCACATGTGGGGGTGGGGTGGGGGAGTATGGGGGTGGTGGTACTCCTCCCTGCAGGTCCTTTTTTTTGGTTCCAGGAGGCTTCAGGGAGGTCTGCTAGGCCCAAAACAGGACATTCATGCATGGGGGGATAGTGGGAGGGGGTTGCATGTGTGAGGGGAGCGCATGCACATGCACAGGGGGGTGGGGTGCATTGCGTTATGGGTGTGAGCATGCGAGCGTGTGGTGTCACTCAAGGGCGTGCCATTTCGGCACATGAGGACAAAAAGGTCATCACTGCTTTATGCCCTAAAGGGGCTTCAAATTGGAGAGTTATTCAAAGACTTCTAACAGATTAGCCGCGGCAGCTAGATGGAGCCTTCCTTTACAGAAGCAGTATACCTTTCGATGCCAGGTGTGAAAGGAAGGTCTCTGCCCACTGGTCCCAAAGGGCCACGTGAAGCACTGAGCCTCTTTTTGCAGGTAGAGAATCCAAGGATGCCAGGCCAACTGTGATGGCTGACAATAAATTACAGAGCTTTCCCATCCTTTTATGGGCACAAACAGATGGAAACCATCATCAGCCTCTGGTGCAACTTCAAGACAAAACAAAATTCCCCAAATTCCTTTCACAAGCCCAGCCCTGCCCACAGGGAACCTGGGACCCCACCCATTCTGAGGTCCCTGTTCTCTCAGTGGCTCACTTCATCTTTATGGACTTCTAGCTATCCACTGTTGTGAGTGGGGGGAAATGTCCTGTTTTATGGGTTCTCTCATTTATTTATTTATTTATATATGTGTGTGTATGTATGTGTATACCCGCACACATACTTACATACACACACACATGCACACACGCACACATGATAGCAGTGTTCCAATATCTCAGGGGCCGCCACAAAGAAGAGGGAGTCAAGCTATTCTCCAAAGCACCTGAGGGCAGGACAAGAAGCAATGGGTGGAAACTAATCAAGAAGGGAAGCAACCTAGAACTAAGGAGAAATTTCCTGACAGAACAATTAATCAGTGGAACAACTTGCCTCCAAGAGGTTGAATTCTCCAACACGGAAAGTTTTTAAGAAGATGCTGGATAACCCTTTGTCTGATGTGGTGTAGGGCGTCTTGCCTAGGCAGGGGGTTGGACTAGAAGACCTCCAAGGTCCCTTCCAACTCTACTATTCTATTCTATTCTATTCTATTCTATTCTATTCTATTCTATTCTATTCTATTCTATTCTATTCTATTCTACTCTACTCCATTCCATTCCATTTGTGTGTGTGTGTGTGTGTGTGTGTTTGGTGAGCAAACTCTTTCACCATGTTTACTTTTAGACTCAATCACTTAGCGTGGGAGAAATACGCTAGGATTTTGGGATGGGCCCCTTCCTTCCCTCTCCCTGCTTCTCAGTTTACATGCAGCTGCTAGTTGGATCCAACAAGCAACAAGTTATTTATCACTCCCCCGCTTGATTTAT